CCCCCCCCCCACCCCCGTCTGTCTGGAGGTCACATGGCAACAGGTCTGGTCAGAGGCACGATCAACATCAGACGTGTGTGTGTGTTGAATGTGAAGACAAATGAGGCGACACACACACACACACACACACCTAAAACACACTCCCCTAATCCCTCAAATGGTCACCACGGGAATATGTGTGTGAGTGTGTATAACTGCAAAACCTATGTACTGTATATTGTTAGTTAATATAGTTAGTTAATATATATATATATATATACAGTATATGGTTTCTAAATATGTATAAATATATATATATTATGATATATATGTATAACTATATGTATATGGTTAATATATATGCATATATGTATTTATATATGTATATACAGTATAAATTAACTAACCATATATATATGGTTTGTTAATATATATATAAATATATATATACGTATATATATTTCTATATGTATGTATAAATTAACTAATCATATATGTATATGGTTAGTTAAAATATATATACATATATATATGTATATATATTAACTAACCATATATATAGGTTTTGGAAATACATATACATATACTGTATATTAACTAACCAATGAACCAATGGTTGTTTTGTTTTTGTTTTTTACAGTGGATAAGTGCTTAATCTCTTCATCCGCGATGCTCGAGCTGCAAACGTCACAAATCCTGTCAACCAGCCTTCACACGACCGTAAGGATGATCCAAACATTCTTAATCGTTACTCACTGTGACAGTTTCTTTTTGTTGTTGACGACTTTATGTCAGCTGTGACTCAGGACAGAATTCTGTTAAAATACCTTAAATTGACTGTAAAGTCTGAGCGGGAAAAATGTCAACAACTAGCTAAATGCTATGCTAACTGCTATAAAAAATGAGTTTATTAGTATACTATATTTTATATTTGTAGTATACTATAGTTTACCTACTTCAAGTAGAAGTAATTACTTTGCCACTTTTTGTTGTTTGGATCAACCTACATTTTAAGCTTAATTCATTTCATATTTTCCAAACGTTTTGACTTTAGCTTTGACTTTACTCACAGGAATATTTGCTGCTGCTGCTGCTGCTGCTGCTGCTGCGGGTGAAAATCCCAGATTTCCCCCAGTCTGGCTCAAGACTTAAATGAATGAGTCTAACGATTTTTAGTGAGAAACAGACTGCAATTTATGTGTGTTATTGCAAACCCTGGCAGTTTGGGATAAATCTATGTGGGTAGCATTGGATAAACACTGTAATCTGGCGTATCTTCCCAGAAACATAATGTTTTTGACCCAGAAAGCTGCAGCGGTGAACGGATAAATGTGGATCACAGGATAAATATTTAGATATCCGCGGCTGATGGACGAGCGCTGTCCGTCTCTTGGC